GAGACGAACCAAGAGGGACGATGGACTCTGAAAAACAAACTGAGGATTCTGGAGTGGAGGGAGTGGGGGGATGGGTTAGCCTGGTGATGGGTATTAAAGAGGGCACGTTCTGCGTGGAGCACTGGGTGTTATATACAAACAATGAATCATGGAACACTACATCAAAAACTAATGATGTATGGTGATTAAGATAAGAATAAAAAAATTTAAAGAATAAAAAGAAAATCAGTGATTTAGGGGTGCCTGGGTGGCTCATTCGGTTAAGCATCTGACTCTTGTTGTCAACTCACGTCATGATCTCAGGGTCATGAGATCCAGGACCATGTCAGGCTCTGTGCTAAGCATGGAGCCTAAGATTCTTTCTCCCTCTCCTTTTGCCCCTCCCCTGTCACATGTATGCACAAGCGTGTTCTCTCTCTCTCAAAAAAAAAAAAAAAAGAAAAGGATTTGATACTTTAAAGAGAGTCTAATTGTAGGAGTTTAGTAATTTCTTACACTGTATATCGACCTTCATTGATAAATGATGAAAATCCATCTCATGATAATGATTTGCTGCAACACTCGGAAATATGCAACAACACTTTCACAAAATGCTAGTCAGCCTATATTTTCTTTCAAAGGGTGTCAGTTAGGATGCCATTAACATATTTCATAGCCAGTGATATAGAGTAAAGTAAGGGGGACAAAATTAAACATTCAGAACTATGTTTAGAATACGTAGAGAGTGTGTATTTTTGTTAGAGGAAGAGAAGTATCCAGAAAATTTGTCTACCCAACTAAAATCCAATATTATTGACATTCTTTTTGTGATACACTCTCACCATCATCTCAGGAAGTCATTTTTGCATCAAAATAAATAGAAATTAATTGTAGATTATCTGTTCAAGATATATAAAATGCTCCGTATGTTTCTTTTATTTAGTATAGTTTGTTTAAGTTTTGATTTAGAGAATATAAAAAAGATATTTATAAATGCTTTTTTTTTTTTTTTGGTGAGCATAGCTTAATGGATAGGATTGTTAGTCTTGTACACCTGAAGCTAATATGACATTATATGTCAATGATATTTCAATTAAAATATATAAACATAAATAGATGTAAATGTATAAATACATATATAAATGCTTTTTAAAAAAGATTTTAGTTTTTTAAGTATCTCTTCACCCAACATAGGTCTTGAACCCACAACCCCGAGATCAACAGTCACACTACTGAGTGAGCCAGCGAGGTGCTCCTATATAAATGCCTTTTTAGTCGATTTCAATCTTATTCTCCCAACTTGATTTTTTCCACTGGGTCTTGAATTATTAAGTCATACGGTCTTTTATTCTAAAAGTTTGCTAACAAGTGGGAAAGGATTGCTGAATCTAAATTTTTATTCTTTTGAATATTTTTCTTATATTTTGGTTTATTATGTTTATCTTTATAATCATGTAATTTTTATAATTTGGATTTTTGGTTATTTATTTTTACATCAGTATTTCCTTAGCAACTATCATTAGAAAATGTTTCAGAACAGTGTCTTTATAGAATTCAGTTTAACTAATATATCTTGAGTACCTCCTTTATGTAAAACACTATACTAAGAGCTTTAGTGATATGAAAATGTATATAATAAAATTACCATTTCACAGGAACCTAAAGACTAATAAAAATATGGGTTGAGACAAATATTAAATAACTAGGTATAAGGCATATTATTCATGTCTTAACCTTAAAGCCAAATGCAGGTATCAGGGTAAAAGGAGATAATATATAGTTGGAGAGATCAGGGAAAGTTTCCTGAAGGATGTATCATGTCTGATGGGTACTGAAAAGTAGGAAGATTTCTAAAGAACTTCAGTGGGAGCTAAAAGAAGGGGTAGTGGAGAGCATTGCAGATGGACCCACTGGCATGATGAGAAGCAAAAGGAGGTGAGAAATTGGGAGTTGTATTTAGGGAGTAAAACATACTTCATTTGTTATACTGTGTTTGACATATATGAAAGAAGTAACGGAAAATAACATCAGGGAGGGTAGGTTGTATGTACATTGTAGAGTGCCTTAAATGGTTAAGTTGAGGAGTTTGGATTTAATTTAGTAAACACTGGGCGATTCCTAAATATTGTTTAGAAGAATGATAGAGTGAAACATAATAAGAATAACAATTAGGAAACTTATAATTGATGGGTGGGAGGTTAATGAGGGCTTGAATTATTATTTTGTAGACTGCTATCCATCTCCCAACTATTAGTCATAACACTGGTAGTTGATTTGATTTTTATAAAAATTCCTAAGAAATTTGAGAAATAATATTTTTAAAGTTTGAACCACTTAGTTATCCCAAGAAGATTTTTAACTAACTTTTGAACATTTGCAAGTTTAAATACCACTTGTCCATTAATTAATTATTTAAATAATACAATAACTATTTTTAATAGTCTAGGATTAAGTAAATCCTTCCCTGAAATTACACAGACTACTGAATGCATTTATTCTTTAATCTATCAGGGTTCTCTCTGGAAGGTTACCCTTTTTTGTCTGATTCATCTTATAGTCCTGGATCCATGTCAACATGTCTGTGAGGCTGTATATTTTCAGAACTAATGCTTTCTATGTTGGTTGAATGCTCATAATATATACCTTGGTTAGCCAGTAGATTTTCCTCCATATTAAGAAAAAAGAAATTTAAAAAAATAAAGAGCAAAGATTTATTAAGAGCTTTCTATATGTCAGGAATTATGCTCAACACTTTGCACATATTGTTCCTTTATTTAAATTTATTTCAAACATACATCAAAGTGCAGAAGACATTAAAACTAATATCTGTGTAGCTGCCACCCAGTTGTGTCCATTCTTAACTTTTTGCTGTGATTATTTACAGCCTTTTTTTTTAAGAAATAAAACATCACAGAAAAAATTTAGTCTCTGTACCTCTTGTCCATTTCCTTCTATCCCTTCCCAGTGGTAATAACCATCCTAAATTTAGTGTTTTTCAATAGTATACATGTTCCAATACTTTTAGTATATAATGTTCATATTTGAAATCATTTTATTGTATCGTTTGGCAAGTTTAAAATCCTTGTAAACATCCTTCTGAGCCATCGGTGGCATTATCAGACATTTTGGTCATTGTGATTGGTGTAAAATGATACCTCACTGTTGTTTTATTTGTATTTCCCTAATTATTAATGAAGTTATGCTTGCTTTTGTCTGATCTCAGATTTTCTCTTTATTTTGCTGGTAAATACTCTTTGTTCACTACACATGTGGAAAGTTTTCAATTTGTGGGTTTTTATTTATCTTGTTTATATGCTTTATAGTGGAAAAGTTTTAACTTTTAATATAGTCAAATGTGTCAATGCTTTACTGTTGTGTCTTAAGTCCTTCACTTGCATAAATGTGCTTCTCATATTTAAGTCTTTAATCAATCTGGAATTTCTTATTGAGTATTATGTAGGAAGGATGTCTGGTTTTTCTCTATATGAATAGCTTCTTGAAGTAACCTGTTTGCTTTTGTGATATGTCCGTAGTGATACATATAAATCTTGTTAATTCCTTGAACTACTTATGGGATCCTGTTGTATTACTTTCCTATAGCCTATCGATGGACATTTTTATCTATTATTACAGTAAAAGCTGCACTAAACATCCTGTACATCTCCTTGTGTTTGAATATTCATACTTTATACTAGATAGTAGGTTTTTGGTCATGTTACGAATGTTGCTGGCCTTTTAACTTTGCTTATGGTACTTCAGCTGCATAGAAGCTTTAAATTTGGATATTGTAAGATATCTCAGTCTTTCTGTTCATAGATTTTACTCCTGGTGTCTTCCAGCTAGAAAATGTATTTTGAATGGAAGTATTAGGCACTGCTTGGTATATTGGTGAACACAACAAACAAAAGTCTCTTCATTTTTTGGAACTTAAGAAAGCTTTCTCTATCCCATGGTCAAAAATGCATTTTCTTTCAATAATTGTTAAATATTTTTTAAAACATTTGGATCTTTATCTGTAATTTATTTTTCCATTTAGTACATGCTGGAATCTAATTTTATTTTGTTACCTAACACTGTTACTTAAAAGCAGTATTTTGTCTATTCGGTTATAATTACACTTCTTTCATATATCATGTTTCTGTAAATTTTTTAATCTATTTCTGGATTTCCTATACTCTTCTCTTTGTTACTGTGTCTGTACCATAATGTTTTAATTACTCTAGCATTAACAGTGTTTTGATAGGTAGTAGGGCAAGTCCTTTCCTCTTTTTTCTTTCCCCATTTACCTTTTTTCTATTGGAACTTTTTTTTGGAATTGCAGTGCAGTTACAGTGAATTTTAAAGAATTAATATATTTATAGTATTGACCCTTCACATATCCATGAATGGTATAGTACCATTTATTTATATCTTTTTTTATGTCCTTCAGTATAGTTGATTTTTCAGTAGTTACTGCAACTTTTTTTTGTTTTGCTTTTGTTTTTTATTCTCAAGTACTACCTTTTGTTACAGTAGTGAATAGGGTATTATTTCCTTTTACATTTTCAAATTATTGCTGGCATTTGGGAAAGTTGTTCTGTTGATTTTCTGATAACTTAGTGTTTTCTCTTATTAGACCTAATAATTGGTAGATTATACATAGGTTTCTAGGTAAATGGTCAAATTGTCTGTAAATAATAGTATTGTATCTTCTTTTTCAACCTTTAAATTTTGAACTCTCTACCCTGGTTCCACTGACTAGAGCCTCTATAGTACAGTGTTGAAGTTAGCAGTGATAGTGAGCAGCCTTGCATTAAACTGCATTTAATGCAGTGTTTTTGATGTTTTACCACGGAAGATAGTAATTGATGTAGGTTTCTGGTAGAGAGTCTTTATCAAGTTGAGATAATTCTTCCTATTTCAAGGTTGCCAAGAGTTTTTATTATGCATGGATGTTAAAATTTACCAAATAAACTTTCAACATCAGCTTAGATGATTACTTGTTTCTCTTCATCTTTTTTAATTGCATTAGATTTTCTAAGGTAAAATTTTTAATTGTATTTAATTTTAAACTACTGCCAACTTTGGGCTTGGATGATGTGAGAAAACATTTTAAGATGCAATATTCTCTGTTATAGAAAACTGTCTTCAAAGGAGATGGAGATGACACATTAGAAAACACAATAGTTGATCAAAGGTAAGGTTGAGTTACCAGAAAAATATTATTTTCTTAAGTATATTTATTGTTGAAATAATTCCTTTAGTATTAGGATTGTTTATTTCATAGTCTGCTATAATTAGATATTGAATATACAAGGGGGGAAAAAGCTAGCATTATAATCTATAAGAGTAGCTCTCAACTGGGGTGATTTTATCTCCCTCCTATTCGTAACCTCCTCTGGAGTTTCTAGAAACTGGCCCTCAAATGTGGAGGGCTAAGAGAGACTGAAGTAAGAGGCAGACCACTCCAGACTGGTAAGTGGCAAATTTATTAAGCAATAGAATCTATTTATGAGGCTTGTCTTGGGAGGATGCAAGACAACTAGATTTCCTCACCTGCCTGCCATAATCTTAAAAGTTGATACAGAAGCTTTAACTTGGTTCAGTCACATATTACAGGAGGCCTTAACTGGGTTCACTTACATACCTAGTATGGATAGTCTCAGCATCACATTACTGTCTTAAGGCTGTATCTTTGGAGCAGCTTCTAGAACTGGGGAAGGCAAGCAGAACACATATTTCAAGGATGGGGGGCGGTGAGTAGCCTCCAATTGCCCAGGTTCAGCTCAAGGGTCAACTGGCAGTTGTTTTCTTGATGAACTCCTTCATTACCTCCCCTCCCTTGATATTTGACAATATCTGGAAATATTAATTGAGCTAAGATTGAGAACAGGAAAAAGGCAAAATATTGATTGCTATGGATACATTTAACATGAAAATGTTGATGTTCAATTTAATTTACATATTATACATTAACCTATATTAAACAATATGCCATTTTTAAATTATGTATTTTTTCTTTAGCTTTTTAGCTCCTCTTATTATTGAGTATGATAAGCATCTGGAAGAGCTAAATAGGCAGCTGAAGTATTATCAGGTATGAAATCATAGTTATCAAGCTTTTTATAATATTCTATTAAAAAAGTAAAATATACTCTTTTCAGAAACATTGATGAGGAATAAAATATTTAGCTATAACTAATCAATTCTTCACTGTCTGTAAGAAAGAGTTGTGTGTGTGTGTGAGTGTGTTTAAAAATTATTTTCAGTTTTGTTTTTTGATCCAGTGTTTCCTTGCTCCTGGTATCTCCCAAGATCTCTTAGATGCTTGAAGCTCTTAAATTCATTATTATATGCTTATATCTTTATTTTTCCCCCCAGGGAGACCCAAAACCATCTCATACTTTGAGACCTTTCTCTTTACCCTCATTCTACCTGTATATCCCATTATTTGGAGAATGGATTTTTCATCCAATTTCAAATATTATGTCCATCAAATTTTAGATGCATTTGATCAGTTTCTAATACAGGCTTAAGCTATGGCAGCTTTCTGTCTGAAATCCTCTCTGTAATGAGGGTTTATTTTAGGAGTGAACAGAGTGAAGAAACCAAGGACACTTCTATATCCTAGAATTTCTAAGATTAGGTTATATAGCAGGCTCATGGAGAACTAGAATAATAGCACAACATTGTTCAGGATACAATCTGATTTCAGTGATCGACATTTTTAGAATATTGTTAAGATTTATAATTTGTTTCTTTGATTTTAAAAGTTTTTTACATTTTCCTCCCAAACTTTGACCTTTCTTTTTTTTTTTTAGAAACTTTTTTTTTTAAGATTTTATTTATTTAATTGACAGAGAGAGAGAGACAGGGAGAGAGGTAACACAAGCAGGGGTAGTGGGAGAGGGAGAAGCAGGCTTCCCGCTGAGCAGGGAGCCTGATGCGGGGCTTGATCCCAGCATCCTGGGATCATGACCTGAGCCGAAGGCAAACGCTTAACCAGCTGAGCCACCCAGGTGCCCCACCTTTGACCTTTCTGACTGTTGGATAACCATACAAAGGAAGCATTTGTTAAAGAGATGCTATATGTCTCAAGCTAAGCTCACCAGAAGGTGATAAACTTCTTAGAGTTTGAATATACTCATTGTTGTGTTTGGCTTAGATACCAATCCCTGGATCAGTTCAGTTGGGTAGCAAGGTTGACTTAATTTAATGCAAATGAAAGAAAGAATAGCAACTTTATATAAAAACACTACCTTAAGACTGATTTCCTCAGAATGGGGCTGTAAGTGTGGCAAACACTAAACTTTATTTATATCTCTTCTCTTCATGCAGGGACAGCAAGAGATCCTACCATATGCTTTGAAGTCTAGTGTATAATAAGCCCTCAATTTTTGATGAATGAATAAAAAACCAGGGCTTATTAGAACAAGATGATTAGAGCTAGCTTAACAATCTCCTATTTATAAATTAATGGATTGACTAAAAGTGTTTTACTAAAAGAACACATGTTTTCATCTTCTAAAAATAAGTTAGGTTTTCCATTGCATTTGAAATTATTTATACTCTCTTTTCCAGGATTAATCCTCTAATATACATTTACAAAGTGATCCTGTAAACCCAAATTTCAAAAACAAGCATTTCTTTAAATTGCAGTTCCTGTTTTATTGTAAGTTAATTAGGTGTTTTCCTAGTCTTTACTATGTGCTTTTTTTTTTTTTAAACCTGTGGTCATTTAAGTTTGAACCGACCATAGTAATGTCTTTTAATCTTTCTAATTGACAATTAAAGAGCAACAGAAAGCTCTCTTCTGCACACATGGTATTTTGCTTTTATTTTTAGGGCTAGTGAGTTAAAGTTTCTGCTGAATTCACTCAGGATTGCTATAATGACATCTTATGTGGTTTGATTGTTATAAAATGGGGTAACTAGTTATTTTGAATTAAACTTTTAAATTTTTAATTTTTTGTAATCTAGCTGACTCATATATCTCTTTAATCAGCTATTTTACTAAGGTGTTTAACTTCATTTTCCCATTTAGCATTCTCAATCTAAGAGTGATTATTGAATTAATTACAAGAGAGAGAAAACTATAGCAGAAAGCCTAAGGATCTGTAACAAGAGTAGTTGCTACTTTTAGAGAGGAAAAGAAGATGCTGACAGATAAATCTAAGAACAGTTGCTCACATGGATATTACTGATTAGAACTAGTTCTTAGGATTTATTGACCAGTAAAAAATGGTTTATCTTGAAAGCAAGAAAAGTATCGCTATAGTTCTCTACATGAAAAATTTTCTTCCAAAAATATAAATAAGGGAAAATTTGATAATATGAGAGGGACTGCTGAGATTTTGTTTCCTTCCAACTATTAAATATTTTGAAATATTTTACAGTAAAGAATCTTTAGTGTGACTATAATGATTCACCTGTAATCCTAGCTATATATATATATTAACTATTTGAGTAATTTGAGTAAATATTTTTTAAGATACGCCAACATTTTTGCAACTTTTAAAGATCTTGCAAGATTTTGCAACTTTTAAGATCAGTTTTTTGGTTTGTTTTTTTTTAATGACAAGAATCAGGATAATTGCTACAATAAAATCCAAACCTCTTAGTTACCATGGCATTCAAGACCTGCTGCCTGCCTTTCCAATTTTCTTTCACTTCATCATCACTCAATGTATGGTCACTTCTCAGTTATCTGATAGTGAATTCATTCATTTTGGTTTAATTGTGTTTCATTCACAACAAGGACCTGGGAAAGGTTCAACTTTAGAGTTGGCTGTTACTGATTTCCTAGACCAAGCTGCCACTAGCTTCTCTGGTTGAAAGGGAGGCAGAAGGGCTTGGAGCATTGCCTGTTCCACCCTTCCCTTGCCAGGTTCACTCCAGGCTTGGCTCTTCTCCTTTAGCCTAGGATACCCAATCAAGACTAATGGACATATCATGAGTTGATTGCAGTTTTGTTTTAAGTGCGATTTTACATGGCCTCCTTCCTGCTCTCCCCTTGCCTATTTACTCTCATTGAGAGCTGACAACTATGCCTGTGTTTTAGTATTTTTTGCCCCTTTTTTCCTTCACACATATTTCTCTCTACTTGAAATGCCTTTCCTTTCCTGTTGAAATTTTACAATCCCTTTATCTCCTCAGAGAGAATTAATCATACCAAACTCATTCTCTTTACGGTATATTTTATTCTTACTTGTATTTTAATTAGTGATTCTTTTTTTCTCCATTTTTCCTATTAAAGTATATGTTAGTGATGATATAGGTTTACCATAGCAACCTTATATGGTGTGGAGAGTTTAGACAGTTAATTAAGGTGGCGAATAGGAGACTAAGTGAATTACTGCTAAAGAAGATCTCTATTTTCTTTTTCACCATTAACGTTTTACTTTTTCAAATACAAGCTCTTATATGGGCTTCAACTAAACTAAAGTGAATTAAGAATACATTCAGGGTATGGTGATCCTCCTCTGGTATTTGTTATAGTGACATACTGAGGAATATCTCATCTTTTTTTTATAAACATCTATAAATCATAGGAATGCATTTGTAAATATTTCTCAGTGTGTCATAGAAATATTTTTATATTTGTTTCAAAATGAATGCTTTATTATGTTCTATGTATCATTAAAATATCCATATTTCCTAGTGCTTATTAGGAGTAAAGAATAGTTGTTTCTTATCAGTAGCCTAGTGCCATAGAATCTGACTGCTTGCATAGGAATGGATTACTTAATAGACACCTGTCTGCAAAATGTATTCCATATTTTAATCTTGCAGAAACATATGGGCGAGATGAAACTACATCTTGAAAATGTCATCAAGGAAAATGAAAGGTAGATCAATTAACTGTTGATTCTTTTATTGTTATTCTAGGTAATTTTTATTGTTGTTATTTGATATTTTATTCATATAGTATACTGGTTATGAGTACAGATCTGGAGCCTGATTTTTTGTTTGACTCCTAGGTCCATTACTTACTAGCTGTGCAACCTTAGACAGTTACTTAACCTCTTTGTGCTTTAGTTTTCTCATCTCTGAATTGTAAATAATAATTTATTTCATAGGGCTGACTGTAGAGGAAGATAGGGTACATAATAAACACTTTATAAATATTTGCAATCATTAATAAGATAGTTATTTTAATCACGTATGTTATGAAACATACTGATAAAAACTGACAATCCACCATCCAGGTAAGAGCTAAAAAAAGTTACCAGTACTGGTGCATCTACCCATGTTTTCCTTCCCTATCCCATTCCTCTCCTGTCTTCTGCTAGATATTAACACTTTCTTGAATTTTGTGTTTATCATTCCCTTGCTTTTTAAATTTTTTAATAGGTGTGTGTATCCCTAACAATATATTATTCGGTTTTGTATTTTTTTTTAACTATAAAAAAATCATATCATTTAGTCTCCTGGGACTTTTTCTTCTACTCAGTATCATGCACAAACAAGCACAAGAGTTTCAAGGGATAACCTTGCTGGGTCATAGATTATATTAATACTCAGTTTTACAATATAACACCAACTTAATTTCCAAAGTGGCTGTACCGATTTACATTCCCACCTGTGATATTTGTGAGTTCTTATTGATCTATATGTTTTTATCAGCACTTAGTCTTACCAGGTGTCTTAATTTTTGTTTTTTTGAGTCTTAAATGGTTTTTCATTGTGGTTATAACTTAACATTTCCCTGAATACTAATATGGTTAACCATTTTTCATATGTTTATTTATCCATGTGATTTTCTCTTCTCATTAAATGCTTGTTCATTTCTTTTTCCCAGTTTCTATATACCTTTTCCTTATTAAATTGTCAAAATAGTTTATATACGCTGTATTCTGAATATTTGTTGGGGGGCCGATCTGTGTCAATGCAGTAATAATACTGTAAACGATAACCATTGTAGAAATTTCAGAGAGGAAGAAATTTAGTCACTTACATGTAAGTACTACTAGATCCCGGGTTTTAGGATCATAACTTAGGGGCTGTGATCTGGAGGTCAGAAATTTATGGTGCTGCCACCATCTCTGTTGCTACTCCTACAGCATCATTTCCATAAAGCCTAGAGTCTTGCCATTGGAAAGCGAGGCACAGGGTATTGACTATAAGAATACCCTCATGTCTGTCCAGTTTTGCTTGCTATCTGTCATACCAATAGAAAAATATTCTCAGCTCACTTCGGTTTTCCATATCCCCCTCAAGTGCTTCTCACTGGTGAAACTTTAATCCCACCCATAACTCCAGCTACAAGAACCACTGAGAAATATAGTTTTAGACTTTCAGCCACTGTGCTAGAGGCTGGAAGATGAAAAGGGATGGGAATGAATAATGTTGCTACAGTACCATACAACATGCTAGCCCAGTAGGTGTTTCATATATCTGCTCCCAGGTTATGGTATGTTTCATGAAAAGAATTTTCTATTTTGTTTTTAATCTTAAGGTAGGTGAATCCATCTTTTTTCTTATGGTTGTTATTCTTTGTGTCTCTAACAAATCCTCTCTCAGCCTGTGATCATAAAGATCCCTATTTTTGGCTAAAAATGTTTAAAGTTTTATTCTATCCGAAGTTTCTCAACTTTAACTTTTAAAGATCATGCAGCTGGGCTGAAATCTGATACATCTTTTGTTGTTGACTTGTATAACTAGACCAAACTAGGAGAAATAATTTTGTTTAGTTCTAAATTCATTTAAAACATGGGCTCTTTTATTTTTTTTTTAGAGATTTTATTTATTTGTTTGACAGAGAGAGAGAGAGCACAAGTAGGCAGAGAGGCAGGCAGAGGGAGAGGGAGAAGCAGGCTCTCCACTGAGCAGGGAGCCCGACGTGGGGCTCGATCCCAGGACTCTAGGATCATGACCTGAGCCGAAGGCAGCCGCTTAACCAACTAAGCCACCCAGGTGCCCCTAAACATGGGCTCTTTTAAAGCTAGCATTCTTTTGTATGTATTTTGTTATATATAGCAGTTTCCTTTTTTATTGTTAATTTATTTTAGTGTAATACATGTTGTTCTTTAGGATAGAATAATCTAGAACTCCCATGGAATTCGTATGTCTTGCTTTTGACTATTTTGTCATTTTCTCACTTCCATTTTAAAAAATATGTTTCACTATTTCTCCTCTTCTCTAATTTCTGAAAGTTTCATATGTTTAAGCTAGTTGCCTGAAGTGTAAAATAAATCTTTTAATTGGGTTTTCAATTTTTCTTATTTGCTTTTCCCCCATGGAAGTTTTTCTAACTTTAATTTTCTATGATTTACTATTCTATCTCAAAAGAGTTATTAAATAAGCCATGCTGTTCCTAACAAAGAACATTGCTAAGATTTTTGAATCACCAATATATGTAGATTAAGCTTGTATTTTAATGTAATGGGGATAGAAGAGGTATTATATGGTTGAGATAATCATTTTGTTTCCTATATTTGGTTACACATACTTACTTCCTTTCATGTCCAGGTCTTTTTAAGCCAGTTTTTTAAAAATCTGCCTTTACCTATTTAACAGTAATGTGGTCATGTCTCTTGAATGTATTTATTCCTAGTACAATAGGAAAGTGGGAAAAAATGGATTCTGAGCTTATTAAAAAGACACTTCTAGTAACTTGAAAATGTTCTCAGGTTTTAAAGTGAATTCTGCTTATTATATTTTTAGGGCAACATCCTATTTTTAATTATGTATTGCAGTTAAGGACTGCAAAATCAAGAGAGTTTATCATTTTTAAGGAGAGTATCTTAAATGTGTATACATGGTCAGTTCTGAATAATGGAAGCTAGCAGTGACATGGATTATATAGTAGTATGTAATTCTACACTTGGGTTTTGGAAACATTTTAGTATTTACATTTTTATATGGGTGGATATAATGTGGGAATTGACTACAGATAGGAAATAATGAAGTCATTTTAAATCAGGCTAAGGAGGAGGTGAAAAAATACTTTGCTTCCTCCCATTTTTAAGTCTGTTCCTTGAAATCTAGTTCATATTGAGAATATAGTGTCTTGTACTAAATTTTTTCTGTAATACCATCTTTTCTCCTCAAAACTTATCAGAGGAAGTAAATTGCGTAAGATAATGAAATGCAGGATTATATGTACAACACTTTCTGGCACTAAATACTAATCTTTATTGTTTGTTATATTATTATTCAGGCTATGGAAGACATCATTTGTTGCCTCCATAAGAGCCATTTTTAATTCTTTCATTCAGCTCTGATTTTGTTCCAGTGTCACTGTGCTCGGGGGAGATGAGGTGCTTCCACAGTTTTAAGTGATAAGTCTTTTATTCAAACTAGTTTGAATTTCTTTTTGCCAGGGATTGGTCTAGGAATGAACACAGGACCCTACTTTTAGCCAGTGAAGTATAAGAGAAAGTCTGTTGTAGAGCTTCTGGTAGAGTTTTCTCCCTGATTTAAAAAAAAAAAAAAGAGGCTGGCAAGAAGAAAGCTTTACCTCTTTCCAGCTTCTTGTTATTTTAGAAAGTGATATGTGAAGTTGGTATAGCCATTTAGTATCCGTGGGGGTAGATATCAAGATTGAAAGAAGGGAAAGGTGAGAAAACCTTTGGTCCTTATTATATTATTGAACTGCTGAAACAAATCTGGAACCACTTACCCTCCCAATTTAATATTAGATGGAGTAATAAAATATTCATTCAGTCATTCATTTATAAGTATTTATTGAGTGCTTATAAGTACCAGGCACTATTCAAGTGAATCATCAGTGATAAAACAGACAAAAATGACCAAACGTCTTTGCAGTGCCTGGGTGGCTCGGTTAAGCGTCTGTCTCTTGATTTTGGCCCAGGTAATGATATCAGAATCCTGATACCAAGCCACTTGTTGGACTCCCTGCTCAGTGGGGAGTCTACTTGTCCCTCTTTCCCTCTGCCCCTTCTTCCAGTAGTGTGTGTACTCTCTCTGGCTCGCTCTCAAATAAATAAATCTTTTTAAAAAAATAACCGTCCTTATTTTTTGTTAGGCATTTTGTTACTTACAGCCAAAATATACTATGATAGAGAGACTTAATTGCATCTGTCAGAGATTCATAAACTACAGCCTGTGGACCAAATTTGGCCTGCTACCTTTTGTAAATAAAAGTTTATTGACTCACAGCCACATTCATTCATTGATATATTGTCTATGGTAAACACTGCTGTTCTTGTGCTACTTGAGGTGCTGTGATGAGTTTATTGTTCTTTATGTGTATATACGTACACACTAATTGTTTGTTATATTATTATGCAATCTATGGAAGACATCATTTGTTGCCTCCGTAAGAGCCATTTTGTATTTTCCCTTTGATTACTAGTCTCTAGTCATGCCAGCCTTCTTATTTGGCTTCCTTAAACCTGGCAAACCAGTGTCCCCCTGAAGACCTTACCTAACTCTTCTGCCTAGAATACTCTTCTCCAGACCCACACAGGACTGTCTTACCTTTGTTCAGATCTTTTATCAGGAAAGCATTCCCTGACCACATTATCTAGCTGTTTCCACCGTCTTCCCCCTTTTTTTTTTCTATAATACAGTTTTATTTTATTTATGGCACCTGTTACTACTTGAAATTATTTGCCTATTTGCTTATTTTTTTTTGTCTTATCTACTAGAATGTATCCTTCATGCGAGCAAGGCCCTTGTCTATTCTTACCACTCTATCCCTAACATCATTGAATAGTGCTTTATCTTTTATGCAAAAACCATATAATTCACTCTTTATGATTTCCAGTTTCAATTTCTTTGAAGAGTAAAAACTTAGAGATGCTTTTGATCTCCTTTTGATCTTCTGTGATTTTATAATTTTTCTGACTTTTTGTAATTATTTTACTTACCTCTAATTCAA